TAATAATAATAATAAGGGAGAAATGTGGGATTCACATATAAATCAAGTATAAAAATCAAATGAATAATCATATTTGACCTGATTGTTTATAGTTCATGATGCGTGATCAAAACCAAAAGTTTCTGTGATATGACTCCCCTTGCACTGTTCACCATGTAAGAATTTATTAAAAAAAAAAAAAAAAGCCTTAATCCAGCAGGACCCAAGCCCTTCCCCCACCTGAGCTCACTGGCAGGAGGGAGGGAAACAGCGGGGAGGGGGTGGAAGCCTAGAGCTACTGAACACCCAGCCCTGGAGGTCTGCTTTGGGAGCAGAAACCTACACTGTGTGGTGCTCTGGACGTCAGGGAGCTGGGAGAGGCAGAGTGCCTGAGAGACTGAGATTCTAGCTGTTTGTGGAGGAGGGGATCCGCACCCGGCCACGCTGTGTCAGAGGAAAGGCAGGTGGTCTGAGAGGCTTCCTAGCAGCAACAGGGCTGCTGAAGTGGTGGGGTTTTCACGGAGCTTGCTGTGCGTGGGAGTGGAGAGCTGGACAAGGTTGTCTGGGTGCGCTCTGCCCAGCTGGTTGGGAACTTTGAGGAGCTTCAGGCGCTCCATCCCCCTGGCTGCCTACTCAGCTCCAAGGCCCCCCACTGTGACACGCCCTGCTGCGCCTTCCTCCTGGCCTGACAGCACCGGTCTGCAAACAGGCAGTCACTGCACTGGTGTCAGGTCAGCCAGAGGGAGGCCCCGCCTACAACAGCTAAAGACACCAAGCACAGAGGCTTATACCTGTGTGCTCGGCCCACTGGCTCTGACTGGAGACTGGCAACGCAGATGGAAATCAGGAAACAGATCTTTCCTCCCCCCCCCCAGGCACCAGCTCCACTCCCCTATGACCTCCAACCTCACTGTAGGGGCTGAGCAGCTCCAGAGACTGGAGCTTCTGGGCACTAGTGGGCACCACACAGAAATATGAAACGCCAAAAGAACACGGTTCAGACCAAAATCTCACAAACCCCAGAAAAAGGGCCAAATGAAACTGAACTCACCAATCTTCCTGAAAGAGAGTTTAAAATAAAAATTAAAAACACGCTTATGGAGGTACAGAAAATTTATTCAAGAATTCAGGAATGAATTTAAGTCGGAGATTCAATCATTAAGAAATTCCATCTCTGAAATGAAACATACAATGGAGGGATTTAAAAGCAGATTAGATGTAGCAGAAGAGACGGTAAATGGAATAGAAATTAGAGAAAAGGAATACAAAGAAGCTTAGGCAGAGAGAAAAAAGAATCTTTAAGAATGAAAGAATATTGACAGAACTGTGTGACCAATCCAAATGGAACAATATTTGCATTATAGGGGTACCAGAAGAAGAGAGAGAAAAAGGGATAGAAAGTGTCATTGAGGAGGTAACTGCTGAAAACTTTCCCAATCTGGGGAAGGAGATAGTCTCTTAGGCCATGGAGATGCACAGATCTCCCAACACAAGGGACCCAAGGAAGACAGCATCAAGACATATAATAATTAAAATGGCAAAGATCAAGGATAAAGACAGACTTTTAAAAGCATATATATAGAGAAAAAAGATCACATACAAAGGAAAACCCATCAGGCTATCAGACATCTCAACAGAAACCTTACAGGCCAGAAGGGAGTGGCATGATATATTTAATGCAATGAAGCAGAAGGGCCTTGAACCAAGAATACTCTACCTGGCAAGGTTATCATTTAAATTTGAAGGAGGGATTAAACAATTTTCAGATAAACAAAAGCAGAGAGAATTTACCTCCCACAAACCACCTCTACAGTGCATTTTGGAGGGACTCCTATAGATGGAAGTATTCCTAAGGCTAAGTAGATGTCACCCAAGGGATAGACAAAGAGTACAGAATATAATTCATAACATACAAAGAATAGAGGAGGAAGAAAAAGGGAAAAAAAAGAAACTTTACGTTGTGCTTATAATAGCATATTAACTGAGTTAAATTAGACTGTTAGATAGTAAGGGAATAACCCTTGAACCTTTGGTAACCACAAATCTAAAGCCTGCAATGACAATAAGTACATACCTATCCATAATCACCCTAACAGTAAGTTGTCTGAGTGCACCAATCAAAAGACATAGAGTTACTAAATAGATAAAAATACAAGACCCATCTATATGCTGCCTATGAGAGACTCACTTCAAACCCAAGGACATATACAGACTGAAAGTAAAGAGATGGAAAAAGATATTTCATGCAACTAATGGTGAGAAAAAAACAGGAGTTGCAGTAGTTGTATCAGACAAAATAGACTTCAAAACAAAAAAAGTAACAAGAGACAAAAAAGGACATTACATAATGATAAAAGGGTCAGTCCAACAAGAGGATATAACTATTATAAATATCTGTGCACCCAACACAGGATCACCTACATATGTGAAACAAATACTAACAGAATTAAAGGGGGAAATAGAATGCAATGCATTCATCTTAGGAGACTTCAACACACCACTCATTCCAAAGGGCAGATCAACCAGACAGAAAATAAGTAAAGAGACAGAGGCACTGCACAACATATTAGAACAGATGGACCTAAAGGACACCTACAGAACACTCCATCCAAAAGCAACAGGATACACATTCTTCTTAAGTGCACATGGAACATTTTCAAGAATAGATCATATACTAGGCCACATAAAGAGCCTCAGTAAATTCAAAAAGACTGAAATTATACCAACAAGCTTCTCACATCACAAAGGTATGAAAGTAGGAATAAACTACACAAAGAAAGTGAAAAAGCCCACAAACACACAGAGGCTTAATAACATGCTCCTAAATAATCAATGGATCAATGACCAAATAAAAACAGAGATCAAGCAATATATGGAGACAAATGACAACAATATTTCAACAACATAAAATCTGTGGGACACAGTGAAGGCCGTGCTAAGAGGAAATATATTGCAATACAGGCCTACCTCAGGAAAGAAGAACAATCTCAAATGAACAGTCTAAACTCAAAATTAATGAAACAAAAAGAGGAAGAACAAATGAGGCCCAAAGTCAGTATAAGGAGGGAAATAGTAAAGATTAAAACAGAAATAAATAAAATTGAGAAGAATAAAACTAGAAAGAATCAATGAAAGCAAGAGCTGGTTCTTTGAAAAAATTAACAACATAGATAAACCCCTAGCCAGACTTACCAAGAAAAAAAGAGAGTCTACACACATAAACAGAATCAGAAATGAGAAATGAAAAATCACTACATGACACCACAGAAATACAAAGAAGTATGAGAGAATACTATGAAAACTTATATGCAAACAAACTGGATGACCTAGAAGAAATGGACAACTTTCTAGAAAAATACAACCTTCCAAGGCTGACCCAGGAAGAAACAGAAAATCTGAATAGACCAATTACCAGCAAAGAAATTGAATTAGTAATAAAAAAATACCTAAGAACAAAACTTCTGGATGAGATGGTTTCACTGCTGAATTTTATCAAACATTTAGTGAAGTCCTAATACCAATCCTCCTTAAAGTTTTCCAAAAAGTAGAAGAGGAGTGAATATTCCCAAACTCATTCTACGAGGCCAACATCACTCTAATACCAAAACCAGGCAAAGACACCACAAAAAAAAGAAAATTACAGACCAATATCCCTCATGAACATAGATGCAAAAATACTCAACAAAATATTAGCAAACCAAATTCAATAATACATCGAAAAGATCATCCATCATGATCAAGTGGGATTCATCCCAGGGATGCAAGGATGGTACAACATTTGAAAATCCATCAACAGCATCTACTACATCAACAAAAAGGATGAAAACC